TTCAACAGAACTTCAATACGATTTCTTATTCTTCAAATTTTTTCCCTAATTTTGAAATGTTATCACAAAGATCTCTTTGTGGTCAACGACGTTTAGCTTTATCTGTTTTTTTTTTCTTTCACTTTGCATATTTTTAGCGTCAGGCTTCTTATCTTTGTTTAGCAATCAGTCTTCAGAATTTTGATTACCAGTTCCAACAGACCTGGGTAGTCAGCGTTTTGCAGCAGAAAAGCTACTAAACAATATTTTAGAACTGTATCACCGATTGAACTTGTTAAGGCTTTTATAGGAAATTTTAAAACTTTTCTATCTGCGGAAGATTCTTTTACGTAACCTTTTGGTTGATGGCACCTAACGAGTAACATTGGTAGCGAAAAGCGTACTATCTGCTTTTTAGAAGCTTTAGACTTGGGTGATTGAAAAAAATGAGTTATAAATACGGAAACTAATGGAAAGGAAGATTTTCTGAAACAACCGACGAATGAATAAAACTTCAAACTGTTCCGAAGATTAAATTATGCAGAGAGATTCAAAATGAAACGTTCGTTTGGTGCAGATGTTTTTACAGAATCCAGTCCATTTTAACAAATTTTGAAACCATTTGAACAGTTGCGATAAGCTGCTATAGTTCCACTTACTTAATCTACAAGCAAATTTTGTCACTTTTCTATCGTGGCGAACTACTGTGTTTTAATGTTTTTTCTTGACACCAATCCCTTTAAAAGTTATCAAAAAGTAGCTTCAATAAATGAATATTTAAGTTTTTTTTATTCTCGCTTTCCAACAGTGTTTGATTGTCTCACCTTTTACTTAACTGCTAAGATTGGTTATAATTTTTTTCTGCATTTAATTCTTATATTGCCTGTTTGTTTTAGGTGCACATAAATTTGCTATTTTCATCGATAACAAAGTTTATGATGTTACAGAATCGTTATTATTCAAGTATTTATTGTGCGTTTTCTTATAATAATCTTCATTGTTTTGACGTTTTACAGAAATTACTACCATGACTGGCGACAAAAGTTTAAGAAAGTTAACTCGTAAAGAAGTTGAAGAACATAACAGTACAAAGAGTAGTTGGATTGTTATTGGTAACAAAGTATATGATGTTACAGAATTTTTGGATGAGGTCAGTTGAATAAAGAAAAAAAAAGCTTTTCTTTTTTTTCTACTTGGTTACTTATCGATATTTGAAGTGTTTATAATAGAGAGGGTCATTCTTTAGCATCCTGGTGGTTGTGAAGTACTCCTTGAGTTAGCTGGTGGGGACGCTACAGAAAACTTTGAAGATGTTGGCCACTCAACAGATGCACAGGAGATGCGGGAAACCTATTTAGTTGGAGAAATTGAAAAGGTTATTTTTAAATGTTAAATTTTAAATATTTTTTGAAGTCTTATGTTTTTGACGTTTTTTGCTTTTTTCATATTTTAAAGTCGTATTATATAAGTAATTTTGTACAAATTTATTTAGGATGAAAAGCAGACATATTCTCCTAGTAAAAAAGAGCAACCAGCACCATCAACTATAGAGTAAGTTGTATAATTTTTCTAAAAGTAAAAGTTTTGGTACTGTCTTTGAGTAAATGAAAAATTCTAAGTACAAAAAAAAAATGTTATTTTTGCTATTTATTATGCTGAGTTTTATAAGTTGCAGTTTATTTTTTTATGAAAAAAATTATCTTTTTATAAGTGCTAAGAATTTCTAGAATAATCTCCAATGACAGTGGAATTTTTGAAGTCAATTAATTAAAATTTGTTTTTTTTTAACCCAATTAAATGAACAACATGACATTTGTCTGCTTCAAAGTTATTCTTGTAAGAATAGAGCAGAAATACTTTTAATACTGTTACTGTCGGCGTCTGTAGCTTTTAATAGTTTTATTTTGCAGGTCACATAATTTCTTTCTAGAATACGGTTATCCCGTTGTATTCTTCGTATTTTTTGCTATTCTTTTTTACTGGTTAGTACGGGCTGCTTTCTAAATTCTGTGTTGATGTGATCAACAACTGATTGACAGTAATTACTGATGACTGTTTAAATTGTATGAAACTAATCTATTTTACGTGAAGTTTTCTTCTTACTGGTCAGCTAGAGTGAGGTTGTATACATCAACTTACCAATTTTTTGTGACAACTTTTGACCTATGATATTTCTAAAAGTTAGTTTTTTTTTCCCAAAAATCTTTCTTTTTTTGTTAACTATTTTGTAATAACAGCCATATCAGTTGTTATATTTGAAATTTGTAATAAATCTTTAAATGAAACTTTTGTTACTGTGTAAGCATTTTATCAGATTTGCAGGGAGAAATTGAAAATAAAATTATAATTTATATGAGTAAATGGTACTATCGAATTATGTAATCATCTTATTTTAAGTATTTGTTAACAACCAGTTTATTGAATGAATAGCCAGGTTTTGCAGTTGTTGTTGTTGGCGGTGGTGATGTGGATAGTGTTATTAAAGTAAGCAGATTTTTCCTGAAAAAATTCTTGCTATATTTAGCATTGGTTAGCAATAGGAGCCACTTTTCCAGTAGTTTTTGAAGTTTTTCAAGTCTTTTTTCTTATACTTTTTGCCTTCTGTGGTTTTGTTATAAAAGATCCCAG